TTATGGGACATTTTGTTAAATTTAATTTTCACCTCGCTCATTATGTTATTTGCAAAAAGTCACACATAAAGTCGTTAACAAGGCGGCAAAGCTTCCAGAGAAAATTTCTTCATTAATGAGCGGAATAAAGTAACGCCTCTAAACTGCAGCCGCAGCAGCTGCATCTTCCCCGTGTGTCGTGTCTCTATAAAGTCTATAAAACCCAATCCCAGCTCGTCTTTAATTTGAGCCAATTAAAGTGGCGACAAAGCAAAGCCTTCGCTTCAAATCCCGAATGAAAACTCAGAGCTGCCTTTCCCTTTTCCCCGCTTTTGCGGTGTTTCGATCTTCGGCGTTAATGATGAACCTGAATGGATCGTACATGAATTTTTCATTGTTTTTTATTCGGGGCTTTATTCGGGTTATTAAATCGCTGGCTAGAAAAACTGAAAACTGAAAACTGAAAACCAAAGAAATAAACAGAGAAAATATAAAAATAAATTGTGTTCGAAAGTCAATTTTGTGATCATGCTTTTGGGGCCTTTTTTTCGTTGTTCGGCGACTGCTCTTTTCTTTTGTTTTTCCTATTGCCAAAAGATTTATTGTTGGCTTTTTCTTCTTAATTTTACCCACATTTCATTTCGGTTTCGGAGTTGCAGTTTAGCCGGCTACCAATTTCAGTTCCACTTCCTTCACAGTTTAAAATAAATTTCTCGCCCAAAGTTTGGCAATTTTATTTCTCTATTAAAAGAGGGGAAAATAGTAATTTGCTGCTCGATTATGACGAAATCATTTGATCCGCTTCACATGTGACGTAGTCTTTGTATTTTTTATACTTTTTGGGCCTGTCTTTCCTTTTGTGTGGTTTTTTTTTTGTCTGTGGTAATGACTTCATCCGCAGTTCATTTGATAAATTATCCGCCAGTTTGTAATAATATTTTTCTTTAGCTCGCTCCGTTGGGGGGTGTTGCCTTCGATTTGGTGTGCCTGCTTTTGTTTTCATTTTGTTAATTATCCGCTTTAATTGTTAATTTAAATCACGAAGAAAAGTGAAACTCAATTGAACTTGAGAGACCCCCGTCCATCTATCTTGCTCGTGTGTTATTTTCTTATGAAATTGGGCGTGTTGCGGATCGATGAAGGAGAGAAAGGTTTTCTGATCCGATTGTTAACGATAAGAGGAGATTAGATTGGCTTTGGCATTTGTTATGCTTTTGGATAGAAGTAGAAGTGGAGTGGGAGATTTACATTTTTTGAAGTCAAGCATTTTAAGTTATTTCTTTGGGAAGTATTTATTAAACTTCAGATAAATATTTAAATAAATTATAAATTTTTCAATTTTATGAAACTGTTTTGTTTAACTTCGGAATATTTAAAAAAAATGTCTTTTGTTGCGTTAGAATCGGTTCACTCGTTCAAGAGTTGTAGCTTCTCAAAGATTTTCGGCAAAAACATTCTTTAAATAGGTTGGCAACCCTACATGCGACAACCCTCAAACAGCACGTAAAATATTACGATAAACTAGGCATAAAAATGTAGTTTTAGATGACTAGTTTTGCAGAGAATGCCTTATAAATTAACAGCTGACTCTTAATGAACTGCTAAATGAACTCCCATTATCGCAATTACTATTCAGTTAGGCCCAAAACTAAACGACTAAAAGATGGCAAATAAAATGGAAAGTCCATTTAAAGGTTCACTTAACGCGAAAGTTGAACTATAACCGAACTGGGCAATGGGCAGCAATCGTAACTGAATTTTCAGTGGAACTTGGACTCACGCAGACTTGGGCTAACTACTCTCTTGACTGGGCTAATTCGGTGGTAAATGTTTTATTGCCGCCCAGCGACTGACTGCAGCTGGCCATATGGTCTGCAGTCTGCAGTCTGCACCTAAGTTGGACTTGGAGTCCAGCTAACTTATTGGGCGAAAGGTTACACAGCAATTGTTATGCAAATCTGGCGGAGGGAAACACAATGGACACCGCGATATTCGATAGAATCGGACAACAAGCAAATCGAAATGAAAAATTCAAAATTCGAAATTCGCAAATCCTATCGAGGCGAAACATGAAATTATGACTGCCATAAAGTGGAGCACTTCCTCGACTCCCGCACACGAAATGGAAATGGAAATTGTCAATGCGATTATATGGTTTCTCGGAGCTCTTAGCTAATCGCGCCGGCCAGAGTCCAAATTGCACCACCTTCACTTTTCCTGCGGCTTTTCCAGGGAAAAACAAACTTATTTTCTCGCTTTGTCGCGCTGCTGCTTTTGCTGCTTGTCTTGACCATTTTTGGTGGCCCCAGTTGGTCGGGAAACAAAGACATCCTGTCGTCGCAGGCGACAGGGAACATGATTGTTTACGCTTCACTTGACCAGAACAGCGAATGCTTAACCCACTGTGGCCCCCAAAAAACAAACACTTGTCAGAGATTTTATCGGAATCGTAGGCATTTAACAGTACAATCTAAGAAATAATTTAAAAAACCTTAAAGAGGAAAGTAAACTTACCAAGTTGTGTGACAATTAAATTGAAAACTTAAAAATAAGTGTCTAAAAGTTTGCAATAATATTTTATAAATTCGAAAATCCAAAGAAATAAATACGAATAAAATTTCTTTGCATACTTTTAAGCACCTTTTTGAGTGATTTCAAACCATTACATTTTTTCTGAATAAATGTTTAGGTTTATTTTACCCATCCTCCCCAAACTTTTTCCCACATAATACAAATAAATTTCAGCCATCTGCAAAATACATAGAGTTATTCTCACTGGTCTTTGCTTTGCTTTGGCTTGGGTTTTCAATTAAAAAGGAGATTGCAGTCAGCACCTTGGGGAACCGAAGCCGAGAGATCTCCAGCTCGTTATGGCCATCGACATTGTCCGGCAGCTGACAAATTTTGGTTTTTGCTTCACGGCGATCATCTCTCAATCTCAATCTTTTCCAACCCAATCTCGATATCAAGCCCCTTTCCTTTTGGACTCTAGTCTCTCGTTGCTGTGGGGCTTGATTGCGTCGATCGGTTTGTGGAATTGGAATTGGAACTCTAGTTAACAGTTTGGTTTTTTTGGACACTGAATGCGTGTCTCCGCCCCCGGGAACTGCAGAAGCAACAACTGCAGTCTGCAGCCCGAAAACAATTGACAGAGACAAACGCCTAACAACTTATTGGAAATATGTTTAACCATTTTGGGCAATTGACATTTGGTGCTGCTGCCGTCGTCGTCGATCGATACTACTGCCTACTCTAAACTCTAGCTGAAAAAGCCTATTTCTATGAGGCTCTGGCTCTCTTTCTCCCATCGACAACGTGACAAAACAATTGTCGTAAATCAGGGGCAGCCAGCCGGAGTTTAGCAAGCCAAAGAGTTTTTGTCTTGAGCATTTTTCGGCTAACTGCCCACAATGCAAACTCAACTTTTTTCTTAGTCTTGGTTTTTGTTTACTTTCATTTGGCTCGTGGCCGGCTGTAGTTTGCCGTTTTTTTTGGTTTTTTTTGGGGAGAAGAAAGAACGAATGTGTTTTTAAGGAATTCCATTGAACAAAAACGTTAAAGGAATTTTCAATTAGCCAAAAAATAAAAACTTACAATTCCTGAATGGGTCAAGAAAATGGGTAAGGGAAAGTATTTATTTTGTAAAAGGCTTTAAAATAGATTGGGAATTTTTTACATAAGTGGAAACCCGGAGGATTTTGTATTTAAAAAATTTAAATCGAATTTAATTTGGTCTATTTATTTTCTAAGTAATTGTTTTATAGTTATTATTATATTTAAAACATAAATAGATTTCCTCCATAAGCCAATCCAATTCTTATGCAATATTCCTCCTCGAACCGATTAACTTCTGTCATGGTCAAAGCTCAATTGAAACCGACACAAATCAAGCTAAAGGCGGGAACCGAAAGAGTCCAAGTCCAAAGACTTACTCTCTTCCGTCTTAGATTTTCCCAAACCCAAACTCACACACAATTACATAATATGGGGAGCCCAGAGCCTTGTTTATAGACAATATTGTTCAGATAAAAATCCCCCTAAATCAAAGAAATCCGAGAAAAAAAGAAAACCAAAAACAGAAAAGTGCAGAAAACAAATCTGTGGGCAATGCAATTCAGTGAGACTTTGAATTCACTCTCGATTGAAGGTGTTACAAACGTCCGAATGCCAATTATCAAGCAGAGGTTTCGAGGAGGTTATCTCGAGACCCCCTCTTTCCGCTCCCTCGCAGCAATTTTCACTTTCAGCTCAATAAATTTTCGTAACAAAAAATCAAAAAAATGGGAGAAAAAAGAGCGTGGAAAACAAGGGAACATTGTTGTCTTGATTTTTGGAGGGGAAGTCAATGGATCGAGGGGATCGGAGGAGCAGGCGGCGGGGGCAATGAGAATGACTGACGGATTCGGTCTTTTTTCCCTGTTCGAGATACAAAACTAGTTGCACAATTTCGAGACGCACTAACGGAAGCCGCTGGAGGGGGAAAACTTAAACAAAAAACAGAGGAAAAGCAGCCAAAAACCCAAGTCATTGGGGCCAAAAAAGAAAAAAAAAAACCACACAATATAATAAAATGCGTAAAATTGCATTATTTTTTTTTTTGATTATTTTTCATGTTTTGTTACACTTTTACCTAACTTGATTTTCTTTTCTTTCGGTTGTACATTTTTTTTTTTAAGCAGGCAACGAAAACTTAAAATGTCCTTTCTGATCCTCAAAGTATGCTTTAAATTACAGTCAGCAAAGCGTAGCTCACCGAGTGTACTGCTAGATGGCGCTGCAATTCCGCGTTGCCAACCAGAGTTAGTCCGGATTTTACACTGCTAGATGTCGTTATTTATTTACATTTTTGTGGACGACGTTTAACAGCTGTTAAAAAACGTACTCCACACAAATGTAAATACATTTTTAAAAACCGATAGATGGCGCCAAAAAGTATTGGTACGTATTAGTATTTTTGGAGCTTAGCGTACTTCTGCTTATATTTATATCTGCTTGTGAAATGGAAATCATTAGTTACTCACCGAGTGTACTGCTAGATGTCTCTGCAATTCCGCAATTCCAAACAAAGTGAGTTCCGTGATTGTCGGACAATCCAATAATTTACTCTCCATTTCGCGCAGCCAACGCCGCAATTCCTTGGGATCCTCACAAAGACCTTCAGGTCGTTGGTTCTCATCCAGCATCTGTTGGTAAATTTAATTAAATAGTTTTAAGTACATATTAAATTCAAGGAATTAACATTTTACAAATTCCTTACCTTTAAACAACATTCACTGGACTTTTCCAACACTGTTGCAGCGCCCTCTATCTCACAGCGCGCCTCCTTGCATGTGTCCAAAAGGTTCGTGTCCATGATGTAGTTGTAGTTCGTTTGAATGGCCGCCCAGAGGTCGTCTTTGCCTGAGGAGCCCAGGCCCAAGGTGGCGCTGCTGTGCAGGCTGGTGGAGCTGCACTGACTGTTTCCGCTTCCCCACGAATAACGGTGCATTTTATTGCTATGCGAATTTTTCTAAAATTTCAAGAAAATATATTTTAAATTTAACAATAGTTTTAAGAATTTTCAATTTTTTTTACGTTTTAGTTTTATGTATAGCGCCCCCATGTGTCGACACACTAAACTAATGTAAAATTTCAAGATAAACCGTGTAGATGTTTCTACATTTTAGATATGTATGTAGATGTTTCTACATTTTAGATATGTATGTAGATATTTTCCTTATTTTTATACCCTTTCTTTTAGAGGGTCTTCTGATTTCAGTATAAAGATCACTATAATGTCGATATGGCAATGATTTGTAAAATATGCAAGGGTATTAAAATAATGCCTGTTTAATATTATTATTGGAAACGTTAAAATCTTTGATACACTTTAAATTTAGTAACTTAAACGCACTTTTGAATTATTTTCTATTCCACAAAGAGAAACCATTTAACCAAATTGATTTTTTTAAATACTCGATAAAAATGCTGCTTAAGGTAAATACAAATAAATGTTGACAAATGTTGATTGATTTAAAGCACCTCAAAATAAAGCCACTGAAGTGGCAAAGACCAAACAAAAGCGCACAAAAAAGCCGATTGAAAAGAGGAAGGGGAAACCGCTAAAAGTTGTTAATAAATAAGTAATTTGAGGCGTGCCAAATACGGCCGAAACAATATGCTTGGCCATCTTGGGAGCTGAGCTGGCGATTCAGATATTCCCGACTCTCTAGGCCGCCGCTCAAAAAACTGGTTTTCAGTCACTCCAAATTGCAAAGCGCGCGCAATTAATTAATGCATTTTGCTCATTTGTCCAACAAGAAAGTCTGTCCCCCTGAAATCAAATTAGGCCTGAAATCGTGGAAGGAAATTCCTTATTTACACAATCGTAATGCGCAATCGTAATCCCAAAAGCAAACGAAATTGAAAATCAAAAATCGAAAATGAAATTGTGTATTATTGCTGTTTCTGCCGATTTGAGTAATTGATTAAATGAATGAGTAGTGGGAAAAGGGGTTCGGTGGGGGATTTATCGCCGAGTGACTCGCATATCGGACCAAAAACTCGCCCACAGTGACTAAGAAAAGTTTGACGCCGCCAAATAAGCTGAAAAAAAAATGCAAGCTGTGACACCTGGAGGCCTTGAAAAAAATAAACATATTTCAACGGTCGTGGTCTTGTAACTTTGAACAGATTTTTATCAAGGAATACAGTAAATATCATTTCTCAAAAACTGTGAGAACTGGAGCAAAACTATTTGGTATGCAGATTGTGTGTTTGTACCCACGCTGATAAGATTTATTTAAACGATTCTGACTCGCCCTTGTTCGTCACTAAAAATGAATAAAAATTATTACGCACTAATAATAATCTAATAAATCTATAAATTTATTAGAGATTATAATTTTTTACATCACAAACTGCATACATTCCTCAACAATATGATCATTTTCCGCCTGCGTATAGGAAGAATAGAGGCCCGTTTTTGAATTCCAGTTTAGAGCATAAATTAGCAATTTGTGTTCATGGCCAGTGGCGCCAACTTAGTTGCACATTTTTAACCGTTGCAATTCGCTTGGTTTCATAAAGGCATGCTAATCGGGAAATTTATTAATAATTTATTAAAGCAATTTCCGTTGACACAGACATACACTAAGAGACACACCATTAGGGGAACAAGAACAACAACAAGAAAAAGAACAAGAGTGCAGAAATTTTTCTAACGGCCGCTTGTCATTTTTAGAGACCAAACTCGTTAGCGTGTCGAACGAAGGCTAAAAAGTGCAACAGGTAGGGGAAGATGGAGGAGTATCTAAGCAAAACACAATGCCAAACTTTTTATACCCTAGCTAAAAAGAAAGTTGCTGCATTAAAATATTGTGATTTATTATCAGGTCTTTACTTGTATGATATGTAAGTTAGAAATGAATTCAATTTTTGTAAAATAAAATTATTTTATATATTTATAAGACTTGTTTAGTATAAACATAAAATTTCAAAAAATATCTTTATTTGAAGGCTTGTAGTTAAAGTTTCTTTCAATAATGTTATTTTAGCGGTTTAAATAATAATAGTTTATTTCCTAACATCAAAAATGATTGATAAAAATATTTATATGTAAGTTTTGTTTATATTTTATTATCTACCCAGAAAGGGTATTACCCGATGATCAATTGCAAATTTATGCGCACACACACACAATCGACACAAATCCATTACCTGATGGATACCCAAGCGTTCTCCCCAGTTCCCCTACTCCTCCTCCAAAATCCATGCCCATTTTTGGGATCACTCACCTTGAGGCTGTTGTAGGGCCGCTCCAAATGGAGCTTGGCCTGGATGACGTCACGACGCTCCTGCTGCTCCTCATTCGAGGCCTGCAGTGACGTCATGGACTGTGATTGCTTCATAAGGTCGTTTCCAACACTGTTTCCGCCAGAGTTGCCACTCTTCGGAGCTCCATTTTCCGTTTGAATTACTTTTAAATTTGCATTTCCCTTGGATCCTCGTCTCTGTTTCTTGAGGGAACTACTGCGGCTACTGCAGGCCGACTTTGTAGTTAGACCCGCCGCCTTATTTGGGGGCGTGGCTGGTATGGCGAAAATGCCATCCAATTTAAGGGGTTTCGTTGTGGTATTTTCTTTATTTCGTTGGGTGGTTTGGACTTCGTTCGGGGACTTCAATCCTTCATTTCCACCCTTTATCATGGCCGCTTTTTCAGTCTCTTGGTTACTTCTCATCTCTTCTCCTTCTTTCTCTGATTTGGGGATTCCCCTTTCGTTTTCCTGTTGCATTTCCATTGTTCTCCAACTTTATTTGGCTTTGTTTTCCATGTGTGCGGGATGTGGGGGATATATAATATATTGATTATTTTGCGGAGCGAGTTATGCTAATCCACAAAAACCCCTCAAAAGTCACCCAATATTTGCATGTCTGCCTGGCTTCCTCTCATTTCCATTGTTTCCCCGTTCCGTTTGCCGGCGTTCCGCTCTTTTGGCAATGACCTTCGCAGGGCGTTCCTTTCGATTTCCGTTCGTTTTTATGCAAAATACTTGTTTCGTTATTTTGATAAAAATAAATTAATTCCACTGAAACGAGAAACAAGAGAGCAGGGAAATTTGCACATTAGTCGAAAAGGAAATCAAACAAATTAGGGGGGAAAATAGGTGGGCCGAGATGAAATGATGATTATGATTAGAGAGGGACCAACTCCGAACACCACACCTCATGGGGCAGCATAATTAGCAGCGTTGCAGAGATTCGTTTCTCATTTTCCTTCTACTAATGATGGGTATTATTACTATAGGCAAGCCATTAAAAGACGAAAGCAAATTGCACTTGGATATCGTCTTTAATATTGTTTCATTTCCTACAAGCATTTCTTTGGATCTCATGGGCTGCGATTGCAAGCAGGTGCATTTTATAGATGAAGATTTTAAATGATCACTAATCGTTCATGCGGAAAAAGTTGATTTCACAAAGGGGGGAAAAATTTCAAACGAAATATAGGACTTCTTTAACTCATTTAGTCATTTGCGATCCTAATGGTTAAATTTTAAAAAGTCATGGTAACCTTAAAACATGCTTGTTTTGATCAAATATAACAATCTACGATTCTTCACTACCTTACTAAGCATTTCTAAAATATATAAAGAAAATTAAAAATAATTTCATTTAAATTTGGAGATGTTTTTATTTTCTTAAAACAAACAAACCAACATCATTTCCCAAATGTTGTCTATCTTTTCTGGTCTTATAACAAGTCTGTGAATTATCAGATGTTGCAACACACTGGCGGTGATGAAAGAACCCCTCTATCTATGTAGATATATCTCTATTCCAACCTCTGTGACCCCTCCATTCTCCTCCTCTCGCACATTAGCATAATTAACTCTCGTAGAACTTCAGCTTTTCAGAGTGCAGTGGCCATATCACAGCCTCATATCTCATATCGTATATCTCATATCACACCCACCACCGCCAGAGTAAACAAAACTTTGAAACTGTAAACGGCAATTAAAAAAGCAACTGTAACCCACCGACACAACTACCAACTGCATAACTACGTAATAGCAGCGGGAATCGGGAAAAATTATAGTAATTACGTATGCAAAATATTACTTAATTTCAGAGCTTTAGCTTTGGTCAACGACTCCCGGAGACAGCGGAGGAATTATAAACAATGAACACGATTCTAATCGCGGCGCAATCAAAATTTTCATACGAAATTAGTCGCGAAAAACATTTGTATCCATATTCGTATGCAAATTTTCGTGGTGGTGCAAAAGGCGGTGGAGTTGTCCAATTCCAAAATTGGCCTGCAAGCGTTCATTTAGCCACTTGAGCGCCAGAGATCCGAGTATCCGAATAGTCGTGAAAAATGAATAATAAAATTGGCAACCGAAAGTGGGTGGTGGTGGTTATAATTGAGGGAGGAGGGCGTGGCGCCCGTAAAAAACACAAATCAATGCTAAGAGCTGTAAATAAAGTTTCCCAGGTCTTTGGGCAACAGAAAAATAAAAACAAAAGCATTAAAAACAAACCGCAATCAGAGCGTTAACCCATTATTGACAGGGCTGTTGATAGACAGCAATTTGAGAAATCGATTTTCGATATAAAAATCAATAAATAAATATTACATTTTTATTAGGTTGTCTACTAGATTTTTATGATTTTTGTAAGAAAAGTTGATTATTTAATTTTTAGCGTGTACTTAAGAATTTGTGTTCCATAGCTGAACAAATATAAGTAATTTAATTTAATAGATTTTATTTTTATATTTTATATTTTTTATTTATTTTTAGACAGTTTCCAATTTACTTGATTTCTACATTATTTTCGCACACAGTCCCCATTTAATTCATGGCTCAACTTATTTTTAACCTCTTCCACTTTGAAGAACCAACCATCTTTTGGCGAATTAATTTTATGGCTTTGTGTGAGAGCCTTAGACATATTAATTACATAATTAAGTAATGAATGCGGCAAAGGCCTCCTCTCTTTTATGTGCTGACCATTAAATCTAAATGTTTGCTTTATGACTCACAGAAGAACCTGAAATAGGGGGCCCAAGGAATCGTCTGACAGTAGTTTCCCCTTTTATGCAAATTTCCACTCGGTCTGCATGCAAAATGGTGATTCGCATTCGCGAGTGACTAACACACAAACAACCGAAAGGCCGTTCAAAAAGGCGTTGAAAAAGTAGAGAAATATACTTGTAGTAGGCAAAAATTCATTTGGGAAATTGCGAATTTCCAGTTTGCGTTTCAGGTTTATAGGTTTCCGCATGGAAATGGTTAAAATTAAGAGGCCTTTCTATGTCATTTGGGATTTCGATTTGGGCTTATACGATCTAAGAATGCGTATTCAAATTTAAAATGCCCAATCAGTGGCTCTTTGAAGTTTAAAAGAGAGATAAAAGCTCCACAAATATGCAAATTAATTCCTTCATTATGCTTTAACCAAATATTTAACACTTTCCGATAATAACTCACTTTTCGTATGAACAGTTTTTCTTTCGAATCTTTTCTTGCATTTATTTGTCCACCTGTTGAACTGTTGCATAAGACACCTCTAAACATTCGGTAATAGCACAAAGGTTCCAAAGAAAACCGATCTTCAAGCGAAACCAAAGTCAAAACCCCCCACCAAAAACCAAAAAACGACATGTGGAACATAAAGTTATAGCCACAAAGCCCACAGACCTCGGCGATCTGAGATCCGAGACCCCCAGAGCAGAAGAAGAAGCCAAAGCAAAGGCCATTAATAAGCACAAAGAGGAGACACAGTAAAGGGGCAGCCAAAAGAAGAGGGCTAAAAATAGACAAATATTTGCGTAGAAATAAGCCAAGGAAACCAAAATGAAGTCAACAAACATGTGGATTGAATGAATGTGAATAGTGGGGAGTGGTTTTAGAGGAAGGGGTCTTGAAGATCGCACATCCCTCGAAATTGCCTATGCAAGACACGAAGTTTTCGAGAAGCTCGTAAATCTGCCCAGGTTCATTGTTCATCGTTATAAGAAAAAGCAGGGGAAAACTGACAATAGAATCTATTTCATCAGACATGTTTTGAGTTATCAAAACTTTCAATTTTCATTGGAGTATCGGTTCATAAATCTTGAATAGGAGTTGCAACTAAAAATCAAGGTCTTTGGTTTTAGTTGTTAAATGTTCACTGACTTTTAAGTGAATTTCCCTTAATAAATAGTACATTCCTTTTGATAAATAAAACAATTTCCCTTAACAATCTTAAAATACCTAAGATTTCCCTTTCGAAGCGTTCTTTGAAAATGAAAACAAAACTTTCATTGTTCTGATTCCCAGCAAAATCTTTTCCATTTCATTTCATTTCCCTTTACCTTGATATTTACTCACTTCCGAGCTTTATTCTCTGAGCTTTATTTACTCTACTTAGTTCATCTGAAAAGAAGAAACGAAAACAGAAGCCCCGAAAAACCGGAAGTGAACTCACTTAATCGCCGTTTATTCTCACGCTGGAAAACTCTGTGCAGCCAATTAAAGCAAATCAAGTACTAACAATTGAAAGACCAATTATTTTGTTTACCCAGTTTCTTCCGATGAACTTTACTCGTGCCTCTAGATTAGATATAGTTGATAAGGCAGGCAATCGAGCGACACTCGAGTGGCCCCAAATGTAATCAATTATATAGAATATTTCATTATCTGGGGGGCCCATAGTCGAGATAAGACTTCGAAATTCGTTTAGTTGGCCAACAAAAGTCTTGAAAGTTCGCGTACTTGGCCATAATTTAGTCATCAGCTGGCTTTTGGGCGTGAAGTCATGAGTAAGAATGAGTTGTACGAGCGATAAAATCGTTGATAGAGGTGGGATTTTTGGGATATCGTAATTTTATTGAACAATAAGAAAAACAAAAACAAAAAAAAAGGAAAAAAAAAAAGGAAAAATTTATAAAGCTGGTGTAAAAAATTGACCGCGGTTTTAGATAGTTTTTATTTTTATGGAAGAAACCAGAGTTAAGATTATAAAGCTTTTAGAAACTATTTTTTAAAAAATAAATATTTATGAAAAGGCAAAATATTTTAAGATAAAATATTCAAGAACATAAAAAGTTTTCAAAATGAAATTACCATTAATATTTGTATGTAATAAACTAAAAAGCTTTTAAGAACTATTTCTTTAAAATATAAAAATTTAGAAAAATATTAAATTTTTTGAAATATAGAAATCAAAAAATATAGATAAAGCTTTTAAAATTACAAAATTATTTGTGTGATATTCCATCTCTAGCCACAAAAGTTAACACCGATTGCAGACACCGCGTCGACCCCAGAATCAGACATTCAGCGAGACCCAGACCGAGGAAATCGACATTCCGCAGACCAAAGCGTAATTAAAATATATTTTTTTTTATATATTGCACAGCAGCGAGCAGCAGTTGCAGCTATATATTTTATATGAACCAGCAGCAGCAGTGGTCAACCGACTTATCGGGGAATTCTTCCGAGAATCGCGTTGGCAGTGCAGTGCCAACGCTGTGTGCCCACCAATTTGGCCATTCAAGCCGAGTTGTTGACCAGGCTAAGAGCCATGATTGGAGGAGAACCCCAAAGGCAGACAGCTTGCCATAAATTGACAATTGCTAAAGACAGTTGCTGCGGCAGCAACACAACTGCAACTGCAACAGCTGCTGTTGCAGCAGCAACACCTAATGAATTGTTAACTGCAGGGATATATATACTATGTCTATAAGTTGAAAAGAGAGGTGAGACGGCGTCACTTTTGGCACACGTGAATGTTGTTGGCCAAGCCAAGTGGCCAAATCGCTGGCAATCTGGCGACAATAACAATAACCATATTGACTTGTAAACCAAACATCGTGGCCAAAAGGTATTGGAGCAACCGCAACGGCCACCGCAAAAAACACAGAAAACAATCACAATATGTGGTCCAGTGCAACCTAGTTTAAATTAAAGGGGCTCTGTCTGCCCACAGAGATTTTTTTTCTTAGTTTTATTTTTTGTGGGCACCCGAGACAATGAATTGTTTAATTTGTTGCGGTCGTGTCTTGGCTTTGACAAACCTTTATCGCTCGGTACATGAGATATGGCGATGGTGAGCCAGATAACTGATATTTTGTAGCTGGAAAATAGATTATCGCAGTCACTGATCTTGGTTGCAAAAGGGTTTCCTATAGCTTACATGTAAAAACTTTTTTAAATCGCTATTTAATATTATGTATTTCGGTATTTTTTTTATAGTCTGTTTTGATTTTGTTTGGACCATTTAGCTCTTTTATCCTACCTTTTTACGATTTTAGTCAACCAATAATATTTATAATCTCAGTTGTTTTAAACTTTATTATCATTATATTATTTTGACTAATGACTTTGGACTTCTTCATATTTTAATGAATGTTCATAATTAAAATACAAGTTAATCTTATAGATTTTCGATTAAAAAATGTATTTAGCTTGACTTTCGTTAATTTTTGACATTTGTTCCCTTTCAAAGCAATATATTCTGTGCTCTTTATTAACCTACACTGATTTGAAATCATTGCAAATTCCTTGCTTATAAAACAAAAGTCCTCCCTCAAAACAAAGGAATGGAGGGGGTGGAAAAACATTTGCAAGTCTAGTGCGACATAAGGCGACATGAAAACATGGCCACGGAATAAAGACAGTGGACAGAGGACCAACAGACCCGAGGTCCAAGACAAAAGGAAACTCTTATATGTATTTCTGTGGATTTTCGGTGCAAAAGCAATTAGAGAAGTGGTTCACCATTGGAAAAGGAAACCAAAGCAGAAAAAAACGAAAGTTATCGGATCTCCGAAAGTGGAGACAAATTTGGGGAACATGCAAACATTGTATCGCCACCTTCCAAACACCAAGACACCGAAACACCCAAAAACCCAACCACCCCCTCTGCTGATCTACCAGTAATTTTACAGTTAAACCAAAGACAAATTTTGGCAAAAAGTGAAAAATAAAAAAAAATATCTTTTTAGTATAATATTATCGATTAGAAAAAATTGTCTTAAGAAAAAATAAATTTGAAATATTCAATTATTATATATATTTTGCAATATATTTTTATATCTAATTTAATGCTTTAGTTTCGAGCTGTAGAAGTTCGACTGTATTTTATTTGTCGCCTTTAAAGTTGTCGCTAACAAAATTTGTCTACAACCTATAAACATTTTTGGACCCAGTCCACACACTCCCCCCGCCACCTTTCCACACCCCAGCCCACTTTTTCCCCCGTGTAATCCCCTCCAGTTGTCTAAATTCCTGAGCATAAATGATAAATGTTTCGTGTTTTGTCTGTTTTTGCGGTTTGAACACGTTTTCCTCATGTTCTGCGATCGTTTTTGGGGTCCCCACACATGACACATGGAAAAGCTATCAAAGCACAAGAAAAAAACCAAAAAAGATTTTAGAAAAACTAGTCCCGATTTTGCCACGCCTATCGGTAGGGAAGTCGTTTGTTATGACTACTGACCCACCAAATGAACAGGCGGTAACTCTTTCGACGGCCGACAGGTGGCGAGGCAGTAAATAACCGTATAGTCACACCCCCTATCTGAACGATCGGCCAGCAATATGCTAGCAAATTAGTGGGTTAAGTGGTGCAAGAAAACAGAAAACATAAATTTAAGCAAACACTTCAAAGTGGTTCAGAAAAGCTAATTAGCTGGGGGGAAATCTGTTTGTGGACATAGTTTATTGGCAGTAACTTAAAAAAAAAATTATGAATTTGAAAATGAAATTATGGAAATTATGACACTTACTACAATTTTAAAGTATTTGAGAACTACAATATTATCTTAATATATACAACAATGGAAAAATTTAAAATTAATTTCTGCACATTAAATTCAAAGTTTCGTATAACATATTAAAATTTAATATTATTTAAATAGTAACATAACTTGTATTACAAAGCATATTAAACGGCTTGATTAAATTAAAAAAAAATTTAAAACTTGATTTAGTTCTTCATATTTACTTTACTTTGGTGTCCCGACTATCTAATACCCGTCACTCCGCTAAAGGGAGAGCGAACGCTGTGACGGGTTGGTGTCCCGACTAATAATCGTAACTCAGCTAAAGGGAGTGCGAGGGAGATAGATATATGTTGACAATTTATAAATCGTATAACTTTTTAATGAATGGTCCGATTTGAAAAATGTCTTCTACATTTCGATAGGTATAAATATACACAACAAAATTGCATTTATACTTCTCGGAAATCTTTAAAGATGTGGGCGCAGGACCCATTTTAAAATCGTTAGTGGGCGATTGTGGGCGTTAGAGGGGGCGTGGCGCTCGGCTAAAATAAACTTGCGCTGCGTAGGAAGCCAAAGAATATGTGTGGGAAATCTCAACCTTCTAGCTTTTGTAGTTTCTGAGATCTCAGCGTTCATACAGACGGACAGACGGACAGACAGACAGACAGACGGACAGACGGACATGGCTAGATCGACTCGGCTAGTGACCCTGATCAAGAATATATATACTTTATGGGGTCGGAAACGCTTCCTTCTAGCTGTTACATACTTTTGCACGAATCTAGTATACCCTTTTACTCTACGAGTAACGGGTATAAATATTCAAATTAACTATGATTTTTAATTGTAATATTTCCATATTTAAAGTTATATTTTCCCGCAAAGCTTCTAAGTCCCCTTTCTAGCTTTATAACTTCTCCATAAGTTACTGCATAGTCGCAATATGGCCGTGATCTTGACATTGACCCACTTTTTTAATGGGTACCATTTCCCCTATTCAAAGCTCGAGTCCAGACTCCACAATTCATGCGATGCCACGCAATGAACTCTCCTCTTAATTAAACCATTAAGCCACTCAAAATCGCAATCGCACTTGACAGCCAAAGATTGAGAGATGTGTATAGAGAAAAGGCTAAAAAGCCATACTAAAGTTAATTAACAGGCAATTACTCACATAATCGAGTGTGAAAAGCGTGCAAATTGTGCGAAAGTCGAAATTCATTCAGTGAGCTTGCGGCAAAGCACATCCATCCAATTCCAATCCATGCGATGCCATTCAATTCACTTTCGGCTGAAACGAGATAAATAAATGCGTGTTAAAACAAATAAGCGAAATGATGTGAAAATGTTTTTTGAATGGAGCGGGAACGAAGTTTGACTAATGACAACAACAGCGGGAAAAACAACAGAGGATAACCGACGAGGAAAATGGGGAAATTGTTTACCAATGCTTTTCAATATTAGCACTTGGCCAAAAAAACATTGCATAATGCAAAGCCAAACGCAGAAACTGAAGCATAATAAACCATCAACTTTTACCAAGCAACATTTGCTTAGCAAGATTTTCGATACCCTAGCAGGGGGTATCATGAATTTTATTTCCGTCTACATGACGTTTTAATACGTTACTTATGTTGGTTTCTTGTGATGATTTATGCCTTACAATTGACATAAATGGGAAGAATTGTAGGGTTTTTAACGAAAGATCTTATCTGGTATATTTAATGTATTTATCTTCAGTTGATTTTATGGTATTTAAAAATCTTACAAACATTTTCTTTAAAGGGTATTTTTACTTCGTTTCCCAACGATTCCTTTTAATTTCCCCCACTTTATTTTTATGGCAACCTTTCGCCAAACACCGCCGCAACCTCGTAGCTGTCTCCAGTGATAAATCAGTTGCACCGAAAACCGAAAACCCCCAAGAAAAAAGTCAAATACTTGCCAACAAAACTCCCACAAACTCCGACTGATGCACGACATTTTTTCTCAGTTTTTTTCTCGTTGTTTCTGCAAATTTGACCGAGGGCGTCTCGCATAACAATTCATTATCATTAATTATATTTGCACTCAAATTGCACAAACGGAAAACGAGAGGAAAACTTCCAGCTTGAGCATGAAAAATTGAACAATGTCGATTAAATTGAAAACAATTTTACGCTGCAAAATTTCAATATTTCCCGTCATTTGCCGTTAGGCTCAACGTCCCAAAAGACAACAGCTAAAACGGCATTCCCGACCCAAAAAAAAAAATCATATCTCAAGAGTGGAAAAGAGAGGAAAAATATGGCTCATAAAGCACTGAACATCAACAACAAAAATCGGCAACAACAATTTATTGGTCGCATTAACCTCGGCGAACTCTCTCAATTTTCATGGGTGGGGGACATCAAGGGGGCGGGGGGTTTTGGCAGTCAATCGATGCGAGTTGTGAAAATATCATTTACAGGCAATTTGTAAAAAAGCAACAACAGCAGCAGCAAAATAACTGCAAACTCAGCGAAATTTGCACGAACTAAAAAAAAAGAGTAAAAATACAAAACCAAAAAAATCAAAAACAAATGAACGGCGTTTTACTTTATCAAACAAAAAAAAATTCAAAAAACAGGGGCGGGAAAGGGGGGCAGCAGGGTATACTGTATCTGTGGTCAAGTTGTTAAAGTCGGAAATGGGCACAAACGCCGATCGTCAGCGGTCGACAACAGCAACAAAAGCTGAAATGACGACGACGACAACGTCTCCAGGCGATAATTGGATCCCTTTCCCAGTCGGTCTTAGAGTTAAGAGGTTTTTGAGGGGGGTCTTGGGATGGAGTACTCCCCGCCGAGGTAGAAATTCAATATACTTTTTTGGTTGAGTGGGAAATTTTCTTGTGGGTCCATAAAAAATCTGGACATATGTATGCCTGTTGGGATGGAGTATAAATAAAGCTTTTAAAAAATTATCGGTGGGTAACAAATATTTTTTATTAGTTCAAAAAGAATTTTTTTTATAAAGTATAATTTTAAGAAGATATTTTAATTTTCTCTGATTTTTTTCCCTATTTGTATTTACACATGTTTTATTTTCCTTTATATTATTTTCCCTTAGTTTAGAAGACTTTAACTAAAGCTGCAACTGTACCACCTCAACCCATTCATTCAATTTTGTTTAAATTCCTTTGGGTAATTCTAGAGCCCTTTTATTCAAAGCATCGAATAGCTAACACATTCTCCGCTTATCCAACGCTCTCATAACTCTTTTATTTTATTCGCTTCTTCTTTTTTTTGCCGACAAACTGAAATTGTATCTCAAAGTGCAAAATGCAGATGCGGAACAAACAGAAATTCTGTCAGGTGAGACGTAAATGCCACTTTTTCGGTTTTCGGCTGCCTTAACAAAAACAAAAGACAAAAAGAAAATGAAAACAAAAACTGAAATCAAGAGCTTTCACAGAATAAGAGATATTAATTCGAGTGTTTCGTGTGAAAAAGAACAAACTTGAAGCAGATTTAATCTGAATCCCACCACTTGAGTTCATTAACGAAACCCAAACGAAAGAGAAATGCATTCGAAATGCAATAGAAAGTGAAATGCGTTGGCAAAACAAAACCGTCGTCGGCTACGAAAATCTCCTCCAAATGAGCCGCGAGATGCCGGCGATATGTGTTATGGAGAGACCCCTCCGAAAAACCCCTACTCTTCCAACTCCCATGACCTTGTTCGCAAATTCTGTTGACGTACATCGAACATGGGTGCCACCATCCACATCCACCGTCCAACAAACGAGAGACACCATCCTTGGCGTTTTTCCAGCCGAGATTGCCATCAAGAAATATTTGAGATTCACTTTCGGAGCCGGCAAAGGCAAAGCCAAAAGGCAGCAAAGCAAATGCATCGAAAGACGACGAGGCAGTAAAAACAATGCGCATTGACAACTCATAGATAAAATGCTTTTCTTTAACTATGACGCGACTTCCAACTGCGACGGGACGGCCTCTTCTCAATGGCTGCAAAACAATGACAAACTCTGCAACTGCCACTGGAAAGTGGAAACACACGACGAAAGCAGCCAAACACACTCGAATAAAATCAAAAATGCCAGCCAAGATTTTCTATACTCTACTAGGGTCATATTTTCATCATCAATTCATAACTCGATTTTACTAAAACAATACTAATTTTTAATAATAATGGCATTTATAAGCGTTGATACGATGGCTACAAATAAAATCTGCAACTTCTTTATTTATACGCAAAGATTGGCTTTATTTTATAAATTTTTTTTCCTTACTTATATTTTAAGGAATATTTTCTTTCTTTTTTATTTTTTTTTTTATTTATTTTTTTTTTTTTTTTTTTTTTTTTTTTTTTATTTTTTTTTTTTGTTTTTTTTTTTTTTATTAATTTTTTTTTTATTTGCATGTTGAAATCTTTAAAATCTTTAAATAATAAAACCCAAATAAGCGGAATTAATACAACCGCTTTGAAAATATCGAAATACCCCATTTTGAGAGTACAAGAAAATTGTCGTCAACTTGTTGGGGATGTGTGGGCTGGCATTCGGCACTCGGTTTTCAGTATGCGAGGCAGCACCAAAGCCTCGTATGAAATGCCACAGATTCGATTTTGATAAAATGCCAGGCAACAAGTTGGGAGCTCAGAGCTCAGAAAGAAAGAAGGAAAAAGTGAGAATCGAGGGAAAGAGATGAAGGCGCAGGCGCGAACCGCCTGGCGATAAATCTTCCAAACTAACTTTTGCCATTCCAGTTGCAGTTGCAATTGCAAAAATAAACAGAAAATAAACAGAGGAAACGAGAGTAAGCAGGCGAAATAATCGCAGTCGAGAGTGGAAAATCGGGAAAGTGGGGGTAATGGGTAATGGGTAATATCTGCCATGCGTAAGAGACATATGTACATATATAGTTTTGGTGTATCCCTCGCCTGACGATGATGATAATTGGGCCAAAACGAATGCTTTGGCCAACGGCAGGTCGTCTGGCTGGGTAATTGATATGTTTACAGCTCTATTTTATTCGCAACTCAATTAAACCCGCGTCAAGCTGTGACAAGCCATAAACCGAGGAAGACAATCCAACAATTAGAGTCTCGATTTGTATCTATCTTGGTTTTGGTTTTGGTCGCCTCACTTCGGTTCACTTTCGTTTTCAACATTTCCATTTCGATTGGAAGTGTGAAAGGTTCACAGCGAAACGGCGATCTTCAGGTGGTCTTATTTGATTTTGGGGTTAATGAAACCAAAGTGATCTTCAACTTGATGGCATCTTTTGTGTGATCTGCTGACGACAAGTTGAAGTGATCTTGCTTCAAGAGATAAGATCAAATGGGCTAAGAGGTCTGCGATAGATCAGTGACAATTAAATGGCAGTTGGGCTTGAGTTGAAGATAATGTCAAGATCGTCGGATATAAAGTTAGCTTTATATGCCAGTCTGTAATGAAATTGGGAACTAGAGCTTTTAAAACATTGATTCTATTCGGTATAATCATAAATACAATATAGTTTTCCTTGAAAACTCAATATTATCGATAAAATATTGTAAAACTATCGAAAATATCGGTATTGATCGGAACTGATTGATTTATCATGTTGCTAAAGTGCTGAGTTCCTAAATAAATAACTTCATTATCCATTAACCTTTAATGCTTTTAGTGATGATGCGTAATCATATATTTTAATTATATCTCGCTTGACAGATTAATGAAATGGTTTGCAAATGCTTTTTGTTTGTTTAAGGTATCTATTTTCTGAGGTACCTATATTTAAACCCAATTTGGTAGGTATTTTTACCGATCTCATGCCCCCAATTTGCTTTTAATTGGCCAACCTAAATTGCTCAATATCAAGTTTTTCCTTTATTTTTAGGTCGCCTGGTCTCTCGATTATGTAAAGTCCTCGCTTGCACATATGAAAAACAAGCCGATATGAATGGCCGCTCGTTTGACAGACTAACTGAGTGACTGTCTCATATATATGATTGTATACATATGACTCAATGGGTGGGGGCACCCTAGATATAGTGGCTCTCATAAAGGCGGGAGAAAAAAGATACAAAGTAACTTTACACAGAGAGCAATTAAAAAGGCATCACAACAGCACTGGAAAAAGAAAAACAAGTTTACCCTGAGCTTGGTGAACTGCAAAGCTCAAATTGAAATTGGTATACTTGTTGGAATTTCTGGCGAGGATCACAGGAGTCGGAAAAGTCTTAGTCAAAGCGTGTCCCCGGCATCTGGAAAATGTTCGTTAATTGCACAAAATGCAACTTTGCCATTGTCACAACAGCTCGGGA